AAGCAACTCAGCCTACTCTGCATGCTTTGTGAACGTGAAAAACAAAGGGAGAGCGGGCTTAGGAGTGGAACAGAGGAAGAGGGCGCCCTCTGACAAACCCCAGGCAGGTGGTTAAAGATCTCGAAGGGTGTGGGAAGATGCCAACACCCTGGTGTGAGCGAGGCAGCTGAGCTCTCAGAGCAGCACGAGCTGGAGCCTTCCTCACCACCCAGGTCTGTCCTGGCAAGCGTTCTTGCACTGCCACGGGAGCTGCCTGAGGCGCCTTTCTTTCCAGTGCTGCCGCTACCTCTGCAGCAGGATGGAGAGGTTTGCTCTCATCCTGAGAGTTCTGCCTAGCTCTTTTTCCATTTAAAGACCAATTAATTGTGAAAAACTTTTGTTAATTTTTATTTTTTGATAGTAGTAGTTTTGAATTTATACTTGCCCTCACATTAAAATTAAAGGTTCTTGTTTGATAGTCCTGGGAACTGTAGGGAACACAAAGCACAAGGAAACATTTCAGCTCAACGGACCCTGCAAATTTCCAGAACATATTTTTGTTTTAAGCTTCAGGTGAAGGGAGCAGGAGTAATCAATTCTCCCTCCTGGCTGGCCCTGAGCTGCTGATGCTGTGGGCAGACTAGGCAGCATCTACCCATGACACTGCTGGTGGTACTGGAGGTCAGTTAGATATCCTGGGCCATTTTGGTCTGACAGGTTTGCCCTTAAAAACTGTTTTTTCATGGGCACAAAATACAAGCCAGTGGGAGCATACCAAGGGGAGAAATCTAGATCTTTCTGGTCTGGCATCCGAAATGACTAGCTGTTAACCTTTGAAATGTGGCCAGTGCTGGGGATGGGGATGGTTCACGTGGCCCTGTTCCTCCCTGTGCCTGCCTGCTCCATGTAGCAGCAGCACAATTTAAAAGCCTTCACATCTGTGTCATTAGCCCGTTAATCCAACACCTTCCTCCAGCCTGGTACCACAGTGAGGATTTATGGTTCTTACAGACCAATTTTGCTATCCCTGGGGGAAAATCAGCATCTTGTTATGGATAAAATGACAATAAATGAAACGGCCATTAATTTACGATCTTGCCACACAGTGGCACTCAAACAGATTCCTATTAATGGTTTGTTATTACCACCATCCCATACAGGGCTAATAGCAGCTCGTGGGAAAAACTGTGTCTGAGTCCAGAGACAGCGCTGGCAGCTGGGGCTGCGCAGGGCACAGCCACATCCCCTGGGATGGCCCCAGCAGGAGCTGGGAAGGGGCTGGGTATCCAAGGGCAGGCTGGAGCTGCCCACTGTGCTACAGGCCCAGGGGCTCCCCTAACCCCTCCGGACACCTCCTGGGGGGCGGCCAGGGGGTGGCAGCGCCCCGGGGCTGCCCGGGCTCTGCCCCATTTCCTAGTGCTCAGGGCCTGGCCCTGGCAAGGACCCCTTTGCTTTCTCAGGGAAGAAACACCTCAGCACAGCTCATGAAGCTGTCCTTCCCTACACAATTTGTAATTCAGAACCTTCCTTATGCAAAGGCAAAGCAAAAAGAAGCTGAGCCAGCTGCATCCTCCCCAGGGGCAAATGGAGCCAGAAATGCACTTGTAAAGATGCGTGATGGACCTCGTACCTCTCTGCTCTGCTTCCCTTCACACCGTAGACAATCCCAGGGGATTATTGCCTGCTAACAAGTAGCTCTGTTGGGCAGCAGCTTGATTTCTGATGCGTTTTATCCCACTCATGGTAAATGAATTTGTGGAATGTTGCAGGCGGACAGGAGTGATTCCTGCCCAGTGGAAAGACGAGGCCCGGGGCTCCTCCTGCCAGCCCTGTTGTTGCGAGCCTGGCCTCCTGCACATTCAGTGGTGGTGCTGTTAGCATTGGGGCAGTCAAAGTGGAGCTGGAAGCCACACATCGGTGGATGCAGAGCTGAGGAACTGCTCTAACAAAGATCAATAGGCTGAGGATGGAGGCTGCCATATAGAAAGCATAGGAAAAGAGGGCTGGCTGCTGGCTGGGAGTGTTCCAGGGGAGCAGCGCAAGCAGCTGATTTTCTGTTTGCTTGCAGCTCAAAAAGCCCAGGAACATTGGCTTGGTATTAAAGAACTGTTCAAAAACTGCAGCAAAGAAAAAGCACTGTAAAAAACTCAAAGGCTAACCTTTCTATGTGGTCAAAGTGCTTAATTTGGTCCAGAATAAAGAACAAAGTTTCCTCACTGAATGTACTTTTTAAGAACATTAAGTTGCTTCAGATGGACACCCCCTCAAAACTTCTGCCTAGAATACTGTCCTTTTTAAAGGCAAATGAATTGTCAAAACCAGACTCAATCTGTGAGAAGTTTCACTTCATTTCTTTGCCAGAAAATACTTCATTTGAAGACCATCTCCCGGCTGTTTTCTCGTGCCTGCATGGCTCCCCATAGTAAGAGATCACCTGGACAGCAAGGTGCCAGCTGGACTCGGAGCTGCAGAGCTGCCCCCTGCTTCCCACAGGGCCCCGAAGGCAACGGGGGGGGCCTGGTGCTGGGCTGGGCTGAGGTCCCCGACTCAGGACCCCTGCACCACGACAGGGCTCGGCGTGTGCCCCTGGGGCCGAGGCAGAGCTGTGCTGTGCTGGTGGCAGTGGCTTTGCACCCCCAGCCCGAATCCGGTGCTCCCGCTCCTGCTGCGTTATGTTTAATGCTCAGTTTGCCAAACAGCTTTCTTCACGACAAGGAAACGTGCTAGGAACTGGTCTTCATAAACACACTTTTGCAGTAATAGAATGGAATAAATAAATGCTCCACTATATCTCCCACTGCCACCTTTATTTACATTTTAAGTGACCTGTTATTGCTGACCCCTCTGCCATAAACGCCTAATTGAGAGGAGGCCACTGAGCAAGCAGGGCCGATGTGAAAGTGCATTATGCTAAATAATTCATAACGAGCCCTGTGGTTGTTTCAGTGATATATGTAAATAGGGGAACCTTATTTTTTAACTCACCGTCTATGTTGGTTTATGAATTTTAAAAGGAGAAAATCTTCATTCTGTAGTTCAGTACTGAAGAGTTTCTTTCTCCCTGAAGTTGCGTCCCCAGTAGCCAGCTCCCAGCTGTGAGACAGGAAAAATGTGCTCACAGACCTCTTTCTGCTTTAGCACATTTTAAATCTATTTATTCCTGTGTTTTATCTGTGACTCAGTGACAGTCCCTGCGGGTGCCACCAGCAGATCCAGAGAATGGAAACTGTCACCTGGGCTGGGAGCACAGCATCTGCACGCTGGGGCACCAGCAGAACACCCTTCCCTGGCTTCTGGCTGCAGAGATCCCAGCCCTAAAATCCCGAGTACAGGTTTCTCGCTGGTTCAGGATGGATGCCTTTTCTGCAGAAAGGGGGCCATAAGTGAGCTCAACGTGAAAGAAAAAGAAATGCCAGCCACTCCAGAAGCAGACAAGGTTAAGCACCTCTCTGCCATGATGGAGGACCTGAGTCAGGTCCCCAGACGCCCTTCACTATGTCCTGGGCCTGCAGACCAGGTGGGAGCACCTGCTGCACAGCCAAAGTATATGCAGAATACTGCTGGAATTAGTTTTGTCTCCTGACATCAATGCCTGTGTTGGACAGGCCTGAACACGTGCGAGTGGACCCCCACAAATATACCAGCCTCAGTCGTTGCAGTTCCCTTCTCTACACAGGAAGGTTTCTTTCCTTCCAGGGGACACTGTCCTGGTGTCCCCAAGCTTAGAGCTCTCTGGCTGCACAGTGCAGCTTGTTCAGATGCCTCTACAGGATTGTGCAGGTGATCAGGGCAGAGACACAACACTAACACAATGCTTTTGGATAAGCAGCCCAAAAAGAGGCGATTGCTGATGTGCCAGAGTCTTCTGTGCCTTGCTTCCCTGCCCTGCTCTGCTCCCTGCTGTGTTTAACAGGGAAACCACAGCACAAGGGCTGGTGCGTGCCGCTGTGCTTTACAGACAAGTACTCCCACCTGCCAAGGCAGCCAGCAGCATATTGCCTACACAAGGTGAAAGTCAAACCAGTTCGGAGGCTGGACAAAAGCCACGTGAGGTTCCCTTGTTCTCCCCCAACAGCCCCCAGGTGGGGAAGCACTCTGCACATTTTGGGCAATGCAGAGCAGCCCCATGGAGCACACCTGGGCTTTGCGCTGGGACCTTGTGCAGTGCTGAGACCTACCCACTTGTTACAGCGCACATAAGAAAAGTAATTCCCTTTTATTCCACCTTTTAATTCACAATCATGTTTCCTCTTCGTTATGTGAATGGGATAAGAGGAGCTCCCAGACTGTCTTTTCAAGACCATTCATTATTTATTCATTCTTTTTACACTGTTTTTCTGTCTGTCCTTATTTGATTTTTTTTTTATTTTTATTTTTTTTTAGCCCTTGGTATTATTCTTGTCCCTCTCTAGTTGTCATCTATTCCTACAATACCCTCTAGAGATAGGGTAATCACTCCAAGAAAATTGACTTACATTCAGTGGCAAAAAAAAAACAGTTAAGGTTCCCAAAGGTACCTTCCATTCCTCAAAAATATTCAGCAAAACTGGTACTTTCCACAACACGAACTGAGGAGTAATGGTGCCACCCAGGCAGGGCTGCAATAGCCCTGTGCAGGTGGACACAGTCCCTGAACCTGACCGCTCTGCAAAGCACGTGGCTGGTAACTTTATTCCAGCAGCGCAGGGTGCTATGCACAAGCCCAGCAGCTCCCTGGCCCTCGGGGCCGTCCAGCCAGGCAGCTGCAGGGAGAAGCGCTGCCTCCTGGCCAGGGCTGAAGGGTGCTGTCCCGGGGAGGCTGTGCTCACCCCCATGGGGCTGCTCTGCTACTGCCAGCCTCGACTGGTGTCTGCACGTTTTGTACATCGCTGCTCGCCCTCCCTGCCCTTTACAGCTCATTAACACGTTTGTTAACAAACAGGACCAACTGCAGAGCTGACACCACAGCTGCCAACACTCAGCGAGGTGTGGATGGATGCTGCCTCCTGCCGCAGCTGCTCCATGGCCAGCCAGGGCTGCTGGTGGGAAGCCCGTGCAGAGCGGGGCAGGAGGGCTGGGCCGGGGCTGCCGGCCCCCAGCACCGCTCAGCCTTCAGGGCTGAGCAGCGCTTGTGCTTGGCACAGGGAAGCAGAGGTGCAGAAGCACTTATCCACAGCCCTGAAAGAGGCTGCAGGCACAGTGAGTGTGGAGCTGGTGCTTGGCCTCGTGCGGCAACCTCTTGTGCTAGCCTTGTTTTCAGCAAAACCCCTCTGGGCTGGGAGGCAGCTGCCTGTGGTGCAGAGGGTGGGAGCCACAGCTGGCTGGGACCCTGGGGCAGCATGACGCTGCTGCACAGGAGACAGAGAGGGGCAACTGGGAAGGGAACTACCCCCCTGCTTCTGCTGTCTGGAAGTTTTCCTTGGCTTAAAGTAACACCAGACCATCACCAGATCATGTCTCTGTGCAGTAGTGGAGTGCTCCCCTCCCTGCAAGCATGGCAAAAAAAAAAAAAAAAAAAAGTGATGACGATCAGGCTATGCATCATTTAGATACAACAAATGCTTTTATAAATGTCAATAACAGCATAATTGAAGTGTCCAGCCTGGCCTTGCCACTTCTGCTTGCCTTACTGGAGGCAGAGGCCGCTTGTCCAGCAGGGGAGCAGCTCCAGAGGGGCCGCAGCTGCTGCCTGGCAGGGCTCAGGGGCTGCAGCTGCTGGGCAGCTCACAAAGGGAAGGGGCCAGGGCCGGGTGCTGCTGAGGGTTGTGCCCTGCCCGTTCTGGAGGCTAACGGTGCAGGGGCTTGTTCTCCAGGTGGGTGCTGTGGGTGTGCTGCCATGGGTCCTTCCCTGGCATGGGGTGGGGGTCCTGCTCGTGGTACACACTGAGAGCGGTGCTACCAGCTACCTCTGGTTGCTGCTGGTGGCACTGGACTGTGCAGCTTGTTTGCCTTGCTCCAAAACAGAGCAAAAACTGATATTACCTAAGTGGTGTGGGCTCTGCAACTGATGCTTTGCACACTCTGAAATGAGGATGCACTGGGAAGAAAAGAGCGTCTGTGTGTAGTGTGGCCCAAGAAGGGTGAGGCAGGAAAACTTACCTTAAAATAACTTAGAAAGTCAGTCTCTTTCCTCCTACGGCAGAGGAGTAATTACTACTTTGTAAAGCTTTTAATTTTTTTTTAACACTGCATATAAATACTGCTGCTCAAGAGTTCAGAGGCAGGCATTTTAAATCTAATCCACATTTAACAAGGCTATTAAAGAAAATGTTTAAGCTGCCAGAACTTAACTGATTACAATATTTAATAAATCTTACAAAAAAAAAAAAAAAAAAAAAGTCTTAAAAAAAAAAGGCAGCAAGGAGCCAAGATCACATGGCTTTTATATATGCACTACTGAGAATGCTTTAATGGGAAATGGAAACCCAAAAGATGCAATAATCCTGCCAAAAAGGCCCGCAAATGTATTATAAAAATGTTTAAAGCTCCATTTAAGTTTTTCTAATTAACTTGATAATGACACCAGCATCCCCTCTCTATCAGCCTCCTGGCAGATCAGATGCATCTTGATTGTTAGAGCAATCTTAAGAGTGTGAGAAAAGTGAGATTTTTTTTCCCCTTTCCTCCAGGAGCCTAGGGCAATGCTTTCAGCCGTCCTGCGGCACTCGGGTTGTGTTGGTTTTCAGTTGCTTGGCTCAGGGTGGGAAGGTTTGCTCTGGGGAGCAGCTGGTGCCCTGGGCAGGGGGTGCCCTGCTTGCCCGCTGCCTCCAGCAGCTGAGGTCTTTCTGCTGGTAGTCAGCAGAAGGCAACGGCCAAAAGCTGCTGCTGTCGGGTGCTCAGGGCAGGGGCTGCGGAGCTCCATACTGCTCTGGTTTCCAGAGGGCTGCAGGGCTCTGCTTCCTGGGGATCTCAGGTGGAGCAGGACTCCGCCAGGCAGCCACCCGTCCGCCGGAGTTCTTGGCCCACTTCTGTAGGCCATGCCCCATTCTCATGGACAGCAGGGGCCCTGTGGGGTCACTGCCACTGTCCTCAGAGGATCAGGCATAGGCTTTAACAGCATCTGTGCCTGGTTGGGCTGCTGGGGTCAACCCAGCATGTGGATGGGGCAAGGGGAATCCGGTCTCTGTCAAGAGGTGTCAGCCCCAGGGGAGCTTTGCTGCTGCCCTTGCCAGAGCAAGCCCGTTTCTGGTCTTGGTGCTGAGAGAGAGGAAAGGTATTTGAGAAAGGCATCCCAGTGAATTAGTGTAGGCATGTTTTGAGACTGCATTTCTTGTTGGCTGAGTCAGAGAAATGGCCCTGAGCTGCAGTATATATTCTGCAGGAGATATTAACTGTAGAAAATCAGAGGTCAAGGCAGAGTCATATAATTTCATGGTTGAAGACTCGTCCGTAGCAGAAACCTTGCTGATCAGGTGTTCGGTGTTGTGGGGGAGTGCCCCTGAAGGAGCACTGACTGCATTTGGGGCTGGGGTGTGGTACCAAACACCCGGTGAGCTCTGACCCTGGCAGGAGCTGAGGGCGGGGGGCACACCTGCTGCCCTGCAAATCCCATTTCAGGAGTGCTCAGGCCTCCCAGATCCCCACATCTGGGCATAGTTGTGCATTGCTGCTGCTCCTGGTGCCTGTGCCGGGGGAGGTTTGCTCTTGCTCTCAGCCCGGGCAGAAAATGAGGGTACGGAAGCAGAGCTGAATCTCTTCAGATGCCCCCTGGAATGGACCTGAGGTCAGTAGCTGACTTCCAGGGCTCCTGCTGCCATTTGCTGCCTGGGGCCAGTCTGATCCAGGCTTTTCAGCAGCAGGTGTTCTCCTGAGCTTTTCATCTGTATTCTTTGTCTCTCGTTCCCTCTCTTCAGCTTTCACATCTCAGGGCAGCACAGGAGAACAGCTGTGGTACCCTGCGGAGTCCCCCCAGAGCTGCAGGGGGAAATCCTCCTCTGCTGGTGACGGTGCCTCTGTTTGCACACCAGCCTGCCTGGCCGCCACCTCACGCTGGGACCTGCTGCCATGCTGCTTGTCACCGTGTCCCAGGCGCTTTGCCAGCCTGCTGCCCGGCAGGCACAGCTTCTGGAGGAGCTGTGTGTGCCCGGGCCCCGCTGCCTCCTGCCCCACGCCTGCCGCAGCCGCCGGCCCCAGCAGCGCCCCGGGGAGCAGCACCCTGGTGGGGATTCCTCACCGACAGGAGGTTCGGCCGCTGCTGCATCTGTTCAGTGCGGGCTCTTGTAGAGCACGGTATTTCGATTGGAATGGCACGTGATATGGAGCCAAACAACTCGCGGAAGTCTGTTACATCAATGTAATTGCCTTAATCAGCCAAACTTGTGATCTCTGCAGAAGGAGGTAGGGACTGCTTGACAAGACCTATTTTCTATTGCTCCGTGTGAACTGGACTTATCCCCACCTGTTAAATCTTTATGGGTCCCCCCCAGATTTTCCTATTATTTTTCCCTTGAGACTGTGGTTACTCCCCAGTAGTTTATAAAATATCTCTGACTCCCCTAAGGGCAGATCTTCTGTTCATCCTTTCTAAATATCAAGGTCCATGTTGGTCTCCTTATTTTCCAAAACACTAATTTATTTCCCCTTGACTCCAAACCTGAATAGAAACAAGCAATGGGGCTAGGTGCTTTGCTTCTACCTCTTCCAAGGTTTCATGGAAGTGAATTTTTCAGGCATGGGATATTGTAATAATTATCACTATTTCTGTGACAGCCTCAGCTAGTAACTGATTGCACGCACTTATCTGGGTGTGATAAATGAGCATAATGGTTCTGAGTACTGACAAAAGTAACTGCTGGATGTGTGGAGGAGGCGCACACAAATCATGTATGTACATTTGCTGTGCCACTGGAAATAAGACCTGCCATCGCTGGAGTTCTTGTCACCAAAAGTCTGTAATCTCCTTTTCTTGAACCCTATGAGGATATGTTCTGCTATCCTATACCCTTTGTCTGCTTCCTAGATCTCATCTGCTTCCTAGATTTCCTGTCTTTGCTTGCACAGGTGGTGATTTCTTTCCCTCCCATCTGTGTGTACACCTCTATGCCCAGTTGCACTCTCCGCATCCCTGTGAGACACACACTGTGTCTCAGTTGCACTGTGAGAGTGCAACTGGGTATAGAGTATAGAGGTGTACACACCTTTCATCCAATGTTATTGTTTTCTGCCTCTCCAGCCACCTGCTAGCCAGCCCAACCACAACTGGACCAGGGCTGTGGAGGGGAGAGAATATGTATGGGGTGTTGGGACCGCATGTCCTCACTGCGTGCTCTGTGGTGACAGCAGCACGTTGCTTGCGTGCCTCAGCTATTTACATAGCTTGCCTGCAGAAAGTGATGGATGTGCTTGTAATAGCTGTGGGGCCTGCCAGATGCGTGGTCACAGCACTCCTGTATGCCTTTAGAGTGACAAGTACTCAGATGCGTTCTCGTACTGTACAAATTGTCTAACACTTAGATCTGTCAGACACAAATTCATTAGCCAGGTATGTTCTGAAGATACGATCTCCAGGGCTGACCCACGCTGTCTGTAGACTCTCAGGCAGTGATGATGCTGGCCCGTGGGATTCTGCTGCTCTCATGTGCTGCTGCTAAGCACAAGCTCACCCAGCCTGCCTGTGCCTGCTGCTGTTGCCTCCTGATGGGGTTTTATTTCTTCTTTCTCCTCCAGCTCAGCACAATTTGATTTGCTCTGCCACATCTCACAGCAATGTTAATCTGCGTTGTTTAAACTGAGATTTACTACTACTTCAAGTTTTAATTTGGAAACTCTTTCTAGGACTATAGATTTGTTTTCTTGCTATTTTTCAACACTTCATTCCAGCAGCGATATCTTACAGTGCTGTATGCTCATCTTAGGCTTCATGCAACAGCTCTTTGCAGTGTGGTGTGCCTGTGCCCTGGGCTTGGCTGCATGAGCTTGGAGAGCAGGGGTAGGTTTGGTCCTATTCAATCTCTCATTGCTCAGCATACTCTTCCTCAAAAGACAACTTTGTGTGTGATGAGCAGGAGGGCTTGGTTCTGTGTTGTGAAGGGTTTGCTGGCTCCACAGCCATCCAGACTCTGGGTGTTTCTAAAGTGGCTTTGAAGGCACCTTTGCAACATCTCTGCAGCCACTTGAATGTACCTTCAAAAAGCCCAGAAAAATGAATGTGGGTCTGCAGCATGTGTTGCTGTAGGCTTGGGGTGAGATGCTGTCAGTGCAGGATTAGTGCTGAAAAGAGGGGAGAAAATGACTGCTATTTATGAGTATCTGCTGTCCCTGGTCTGGGCAATGTAAAGCAGCTCTGACAGCACGTGGCTGACTTGACAACCATTGAGGTATTCACCTAATGCAGCAATTCCACAACTTCAGTGGAATTCATAAAATGTGCCTCGACAGATTCCCTGAATCATCGCAGCAGGATGCCTAACCCCCATGGAGAGCGGGAGCGCAGGCATTCCCGTTACAATAATAATTGTATTGCTGAAGCATGTCTCTCCTGCCAAGGGCCTAGCAGAGGCGGTTTTGGAAGGAGGACCTAAGGAGGAGATGCTGCAGCCAGACCGGGTGGCGTGGGGGAGTGCCCTGCTGCAGCTGCACCCCTGGTGCTTCTGGAGGGGGGCGGCTGGGTCGAGGTGCTGAGGGGACTAGGAGCTGAGGGGATCACTGTTCTGGTGTATGGGGAACCGGGGGCATCCTGCTCGACAGCCCTGCCCCAAACGCCTGCTGGAGCTGCAGCTGGGAACGAGTCAGTGCCCCACGGAGCCTGGGGAGCACCAGGGCTGTGGTCGCAGGGGCCGGTCGGATGTCTCTGTGTGTTCTCAGGCACTGGCCTCACGTGGAGGAAAGCTCTGTTAGCCACTTCTCCGGGAGGAGAAATAAGTCTTCTTAGAGATCTACAAAATGCTGTCAGTTTATACACAGTGGATGGTGATGTGGCTGCGCACATCTCCCCATGCTGACACTGATGTTCTGGAAGTGGCAGCTCATGGCACAGAAGGGTTTTTCCTGCTGGGATCAACCCACAAGCTGGGGAATGAGTACGTTTATTTCATGGGCATCCATGAGATCCACTGCTGCTGATTTTCCTGCTACTGCTACAGGTTAATCATTTTGCAGAAGCACCTTGCTGCTCTGAGACAAAGATTTTTTGCTGAAAACCAATAGAAGACCAAAAGAGGAAAAAATCTTTTTATTTTAACTAAGTTCTGATGCCAGGCTGCACTTGCTTGTTGACCAGCATCTCTGTGGTGCTGGCTCCTCTGGATGAGCCCTGTGGTGCTGGGGTCTGGGCACCCCCAGGGCTTCCCGCTGCTCCCTGTGCTGCTGTGCAGTCTACACCCCCCAGGCCTCCTGCACCTGCAGGGGCACTTGTGCTGCTCAGGCTTAGTTAGTGGCACTTCTTGTCTCGGTGTGACCTGGGTGGTGGTGATGGGGTTCCAAGCATGCCTACATTTGTTAAAGAGGCTTCATGTTTCATATGGGGTAGATACTTTGAAAAACAAGAGATCAATGTGAGTGTTGAGCTACTTTATTGGCTCGTTCACTTATTAGTGAATGTGGCTCCCTCCTTGCTGTTTGTGCTCAGAATGGATTTTTATTGCTTAATTCTCTGTAAGTGAAGTGCTAGCAAATTGTAAAATCCTATTGCTTAACATGTAGCATTAAGTATTGAACTAGCAAAAGAATCAATTACAGGTTCGGTCACTGATTAGCTTGACTTTTTATGGAATTTAACGTCAAGTCTCATTATAATTCTGCTCTTTAATTCAGCAAATACAGCACGTGTTGGAGGGATAATGGCTCGGAGTGGCTCTGCTCCAGCTTTCCTGCTGCAGTGTGCCAGCGAGATGCTCAGCACCCAGCTTCAGAGCAGCCCTGTGAAGCCCCAGGTGGGGAGACAGCAGCTGAGCCGTGCTGCTGGGCCGCCTGCTCGGGGCTCTCTGTAAGGACAGGGCTGACCCTGAGCCAGCAGCTGCTCCCCGCCCTGGGGGCTTGCAGGTTCCCCAGCCCTGCAGGAGACACGTCCCAGCCTGAGTCTTGTTCTCCATTTCTCTGCCCTCATTTTCTTGTCTGTGGAGGAACCAGGGTCTGTCTGCAGGGTTCAGGCTGCTTGCACCATGCGCCCTCCTGCACGCTTCTCCTGCTCACTGGACTCATGGTTCCCTGCAAGCTGGTGAGAGGGGGAGCTGCTGAGTGAGCAGCTTCTTCGCTGAGGCTTTGTAGTGTGCTCTGCAAGCATGGACCAGCACCCTGCCACACGCACCGGAGAAGAGCCCACATGGTGTACTCTGCTGCAGTCAGACTTGTGGGTATTCCATTATGGTCAAAGGCTGGATGCAAAGTAATGTACATTTGGAATCTGAAATACTGATGAGCCCCCTGAGCTTCTTGTCCTTTGGGAAATGTGCAAGGAACGGCTGTGAGTAGTTTACAGGAACCTTTCAACAAAGGGCAGGGCTGGTGCCATGTGGCAGGAGACACGGGCACATCTGCAGAGTCCATCAAAGACCTTAAATCTGTCTGGCTGCTGGTAAAATATCAGCGTAATGACTCAGGGCAAGTGAGGTATGAGGAGGTATCTGAGTCCAAATTAAAAATCCTAGCAGAAACATTTGAATCAATTGTAATCGGAGTGCGGTCTCTGCTGGAAGATCTCCAAGGAGGGAGTCGCAGGAATGCTGCGGTGCGCTCTGGCGCAGGGGGCTCGTTGCAGCTGCCCAGCAGAGGGCTGAGCCGTGCGGGGACAGCCCCCTCGTCCCTCTGCAGCCCTCAAGCTGCAGGTGGAGGTGACGGAGAGCTGCTCTGCCCTGCACACTGCTTGTCCTGTGTGCAGCTCCTGCCCTGCTGCCACTTTGGGAACGTGTCCCTGTCCTAGGGCTCCTCCTGGCCCTGCAGGTCGGGGCCCCCTGGGGCCAAGACACCCCTCCCCCTGTGCTGCCCTTGTTGAGGGACAAGTGCAATTGGATTTCCAAATTACACCAGCTCTGATTAGATTCAATATCCCTTTTCTCTAGCCAGACAGCCCTTTAATTCCTTTTCTTTCGATTGTGCAGGGACCCTTCTACACACCTCAGACCCTTCGGCAGGAAATCTTTGCTGTGCAGAGGCTGCTGCGTGCTGCTGCTGCAATAAAGGGGAGACACGGCTCCAGCACCAGCAGAGGAACAGAAGCAGGTTTTCCCTTCCAGCACTGAGGTTTTTGGAGGCTCCTTCTCGTCTGGATGAGCTTATCCCCCTTCCAGGAGAAGCTCCTCTAGCATACTAATTTATATCGTACTCATGCAATCCCCTTGCATCCTGAATGAGGATGGTTTGGGAAATTAAATTTTGTATGAAATGCACCAAAAATCTGATGTCCTCAAGCAAGACATCTGTTTTTTCATCCACCAAAAGGGAAGGCATAACCAACCGCAGCAGCTCTGGGGTCAGCAGAGGGAGAGGGAAGGACCCCTTTGCTGCGGGTGCAGGGGCCGTGGTGCTCGCGTCCCAGCGAGGACAAGGTTTGGTCAGTGTCCAGCATCCATCGGAGTACAGCGCCTGCCCGGGAGCAGTGGTGGCCTGTGGCCATGTTGCACAGTGCCTGCGCAGTGCTTGGCACGTTCGTGGTTTCGGCAAGTAATAAATAACAATAATGATTATGAAAGCATTGTGCATGTGCCCCTAGGGCTCTAAAAAAAAAAAAAAAAAAAAAAAAAAAAAGCCTTTTACATTGAAAGCCAACTGTAACATTTTCCCCCTTGTCTAATTCACAAAATATGCCCATAAAAACAATAATTTATCTGTACAAGGGCAATTCCCTAGGTATTAAACCAAAGATTGATAGCTCTTGACTACCCTGTACTAGTAGAGAGTGAGACCCAGTGGAATTCCCTGGAACTTTGCATGAGTGCAGAAGCTTTTGGTGTTTGCATACACAAAAATCATTAAATGCAATGGTATTTCCTGCCAGGGATTAAACTCTGGGATAGGTCTGGTGCCACACCCAGCTGTGTTCTCCGAGCGTGTTCATGTCTTCCCCAGGCTCAGGGACTGGCTTACCCCCAGATTTTCAGGAAAGAGCTGAAAGCAATTGCTTCTTCCTTTCTTCAGGCTTGACTTTCACATCATAGCTTTTCAATGTACTTAAATCCGTGTGGTGTTTAAAATTCAGCTATGTTTGTCGGAATTCAATTACCCCTGAAGATTACACAAAGATTATCAAAGTTGTAAACAGCAGAATATGCTCAGAGATCAATGAAGCGCAACAAAGACCATATTTAACAGGAGAAATAAAAGTAAGGGCATGCTGGCAAACTCTGACAGTGGAGTGTAATGTTGCATCATCGCGCTGAAGGTTGGAAAGTAATTGAAATCTATGTTATAGCACAATATATCCCTGCACAGATTTGCAGTCATGGAGCACAATTTCAGCTCTAATATTCAAGCAATTCATTTGGTTTAAGCAGACACAGGATCTGAGTTGTTCTTGTTAAGTGTTGGTGTGGAACATCCGTGCAGGTTGCTCAGCGGCAGCAGTGCTGCTGCCCACACGCATCCCGAATTTCCCTTTGGCCTGGCAGCCTCCCCAGGGCACAGCGGGTGCCTCAGATCCCACGCAGGCAGCTCCCCTGCCCTGGGTGCTGCCCTGCTGCTGGCACAGGAGCTGCTGCCAGAGGAGCCTGCCGTGGCTGGGAAGCAGCAGGTGGATGTGATGCAGGAGCCTGGCTGCCAGCCCCTCTTCCCAGCAACGCCGTGCTCTCGTAAGAGGGATTTGTTTGCTCCGGGGGCTGTGGCCCTGCTCCATGGGGACTCCTTCCTTGTCGGCACCCTTCCTGGCCATGCCAGCTGCCTCGGAGCCCCCCGCAGAGATCTCCTCCAGCCAGCCGCACCTCCTTTGTGTTCTGTGGCTTTCCATTGTCATTCTGGATGCAACGCAGCCAGCTGATTTTTCTTCGCCTTAATATATTGCCACTATAATACCAAGTCTAGCAGAACAATGAACTCTAGAGGATGGAGATACCTTCCTCCTGTTTTGCAAACTAAACATAATTTTTATTTGTGCTCAGATTTGTGGCTCCTGCAGGCGGAGCACGTGGGGCAGGAGGAGGGACCCACAGGGCAGGGAGCTGGGGCCGAACCACTGCTGCCGCCTGTCCCCGTGGTCCTCAGCAGCATTGACATTCAGAGGAGGATGCATCCTTTTGTCAAACACTACAGGGGTTTCAGAAGAAACCCTTCAACCCAGATTAATTACTGTTATCTGTACCCGCTGGGGCCCGGTCCACCTGCCTGCCTCTCGTCTGCTGCAGCCAGAACATACCGAAATTCTCATTCCCTTTCTGCTTTTCTTTCTCTCTCTCTCTCTTTCTCTCCCTCTCTCACTCTTTTTTTTTTTTTTCCTATTTACTTCTGCTTTAATCTGCATATTATCATCAGTGCAAAGACCTCTGAAATAACATCTGACAAATGATGCCTATTAAAAAAACCTCTGCACTGTCCTCTTTCACCGCCTTCCAATTTGGACTAGCACTATAACTATGCATCAATAGACAAGCAATATTATGTTAAGAACATGATAAAATACCAGCAGCTTCATAATGGCAGCAGCCAAATGGTAATTTCTGCTTCAGAAATTGGTCATTTATTTTGCTGGTCTGTTCTTACGTTCAAATTAGATGAAGTTTAATATACTGTAAAATTGAATGTATTCTATCCTTTTCAACAAATATGACATGTATGAAATGATTTATGGGTCTTACAAACCTTAAAATGTTAAATAATCTCCTTTTTCCTGTGCCTTAAGTCAGTGATGCCAAATACTTTAAGTACAGAGAAGCAAAACTTTATTAGCTCCCATCCTGATCATCACTTTATTTTGCTGCATTTACAGAGGCAGGAACAGTATTTAACATATTAGACTGAGTTTAGAAGCAGCCATATTAATTGGTACATTAATTTTACCCCATTAACTGTAATTGGTAGGAAAGCGATTCTTCCTGGGTGAATGTTGTAATTTTTGTTCTAAATTTTTAATAAAGTCACGATGGCTCTGCAGATGCCTAAGTGAGGCTGCTCCACGGACCCAACCCTTGCGCACCGCCGGCCTCTCCCTGGGAGGCACGGGGCTGCCCCCACGGTGCTGGCATCTCCCCAGGGTGGGAAGTTTGTCCTAGTCTGAGCTGCATTTAATCTCTGAGTTGCTTGCAGCACAGACAGGAGTAGGGGCTCCTTAACAGCATGAAGGAGAAGGGAGACAAACTCACCCTGGCTGGCAACACCTCCACAGGTCCGTCCGGTGTCCCTGGTGCCGTGTGGGAGCCTGCAGCGAGGTCCCTGCAGCACTGCAGGGTCTGAACGAGCCCGGCTCTGACCCCCCTGGCCCGCCAGTGAGCTGCTCCCCCGGCAGGTGTGAAGCCGGGGTTAACTGGATGGCTTCCCTAGAAAATTACTGACAATATGCAAATCCCACCTTGATTTGAAAATAGGCATTTATACCTGTTAAACTTGGTGTGTTCAAATGTCTCGTGGTGTCCGAGGCTTGTGGCATTCAGCTTCAGACAAGGCTGGTGTCAGCAGCTCCTCCAAAACACGGGGAGGCTGGTTAGGTGGAGGCAGCCCTCCCCTGCCGGGTGTCTTAGCTACAGGGCAGGGAGCAATTCACCCTCCGCAGCCTGCAGCACATTAAACCTTCTCCTAAGGTCTGGCCCCAGATCCCAGGGAAGCTGCCGGGGTGGCTGCCTTGGCTGTGGGGTGGGGTGATGGAGGATGTAGGAGCAGCTGAAGGGCAGGATGAGGGTGACATCCTCCTGGCTTACAGGAATTTAGAAGCAACTTGTCTCCTTGCCCTTAGCCCCTTCTTTTTCTCCTGATCAGCAGTTTGTCCCTGAGTGTAAGCCCAGAGCAATACAGGCTCCTGCAGTCCGTTGGAGCTGCAGCCCTGTGCACCAGGATAATAGAGAAGCCTTTTATTCTGTTTATTTGCTCTATATAATTTTTCCTGCTCTTGCTGACCCTTCTGGGAAGCGTTCCACCCTTCAGTCTCTCTGCTGGGTTCCAGAATTGTTCAGCTTAGGCTATATTTGCATTTCATATCCTATTTAAACCAACATCATCAAGGTCAGAGCATACTGTTGAATCGGAATAGGCTAGAAGACAGCAGTACCTCTTCATGGCACTCGCAGGTTTCCAGGAGCAGTACAGAAACACCACTGCCTGGAGAGTGCTGTGCCTTTACCGCAGCTGCTGTCTGCAAAGAGTCTGAGCCAAGCACTGCACACACACACACACAGACACACACACACACACACACGCACACGCACACGCACGCACACACACCCCACACCCGTGCCCTGGGGCTAGAGAACACACAACTGGCTCTTCCTTGCTTTACATCCCCTTGTGCTATGACAAGGCTCACTCCCAGCCAGACCCTTGACAGAGACACTGGCCCAGCCTGTTTGGCTCCTAGGTCCAAGAGCACAGCCCTTCAACCAGCCACCTGCTTCCTGGGCAAGGTGTGGGGATTTTAAGGCAGCGGCAGGGACAGACTGCCCGGTGCTCTCCTTGGAAAGGCTGGCAGCTCCGGGAGCAGCTGCTCTGCAGGACGCCGGGTGGCCCGGTCGGATGGCACCGGATGGAGTAACCCACCTGCCCCCAGAAGGCAGCTGCATTTATGCCCCATCTCAGAGCATTACCTCAATGCAGAGGCAAATGTGCATCTCCATGTGTGCATGTGTGTTTGTACGAGCATACAGCAGTATGCTGTACAGAGAGCTAAAATATAATGATTTTTGCATCCATGCACAAACAGACTGCTTTTCCTTTCATTAACGAACATTTCAGATGGAAAAGTAGCTGGATTTCTCATGTGAAAAAACAATTCTGCTGAAGACTGAGAGCTGTTTAGAATAAACGCCAGACACTGTGTGATGGAGACATTGCATGGAGACTTAATGCTGGTCACATCTCTCTTCTCTGCCAGTAAGTCAAGGATGTGTCTTTGCTATTGTATTTGGTGACTCATCTTTCAAATAATCATCTCTGGGAGAATTTTGTGCCAAGATGAAAAAATGCCAGGATCCCAGCAGTGTGTGTGTGTGTGTGTGTGCGCGTTTTCCTCTGAGCACACCCTAGGAGGGAGCTATGGGGCAGCTCTGCTCTTTCTTCCCCACTGCAGGCAGGGTGGAGGGGGCATTGTCCAGTTGCTGGGCAGCCCCTGGTTTGGGCACAGGATGGGGAGCAAACAAACACAAATTCTGGCAGAGCGCATTGCTGCTTCTCAGAGGTCCCACTTACCATGGTTTGAATCAAAAAGGGGGTCAGGCAGCCCAGAGCACCTGCAGAGCCCGTGGGCATGGGGCAGCTGGTGCCACACCTGCCATGTGTGTGCATGCCCACCTGCCTCAGGGCTGGAGCTGTGACTGCAGCGAGCATCCAGCAGCACCTGGAGGCTTCCCTCAGCTGAGGAGCAAAATATGCAGATTAGCTGAGTAAGTGAAGTGCAGTATGCTAATTAATTCAACAGACTCACTGTTCCATAACATCAAACCTACACAAGGAGGATGTGCTTGAATTAGCTTCCCCTGGAAAACATTTGCTTGCTGCTTAACAAAAAGTTACACAAACTTATTAAACACTTAACAAGAATGCGAATATGAAAGAAACTGTAGGTGCTGTGTGGGCTAAATCCAAGCAGCTGTCCCCAGAGGCAGAGCAGGATTCCTCAGTGGTACCGCGAAGGCTTCAGCCGCAGAGATGTGCCTGTGATCCTGAGACGTGCCAATAGCGTTTTGTTTGTGACCTGGAAGAAACCCGTAGTGTAAATGGCCAGGAAAACAGAAGCCGGGCACCACGGGCTGCGAGCACCACCTCTGTCCTCTCCCTGTCTCACCGGAGTGGTAGCCGCATGCAAAGGTCACAGGGGTGCCAGACTCGTCCTTCTCCAGGAAGCTTTAGAAGCTAGTGCACAACCTGCTTCTCCTAAAGTACACGTGTGAAGTGCACTCACATCTAAAATGAAAACCAGCCCCGAATCACACCTGCTTGGGCTGCTCTGTGATTTATCAGGGATAAAGCAGCCCTTAATGTGAGAGGAGATAAGGGCGTGTATCCATGGTGGCAGTGCACTCAAACACAGCCGTGTGAGCACCACCCTGGGGCACTGCTTCTCTCCATGGCCTTCCAGCCATGCAGCCTCTTCCTCCTGCTCCATCTCTGCTGGGCTACCAGCCGACACCTCCATTGCACACAGGTCTGTCTGGACCCAGACTGTTCAATGCTTGCCCAGAGAATCCAAGGAGAACCGCAGATATCACCTGAGAGCACTACCAAAATGACTGATGGGGGTTTCCAGAGCACAAAACAGTAAAGCCCCGCAGCAGGAGCATTTGCTATCACCTGGGTACAGCTGAGAAGAGTGGATGGAAGAGACAGCTTCAAAAACAGGAAGAAAAAAGCTTTAGCAGAAAGGATTTGACAGCTGCAATCAGACCAGGAACTTAAGGAGCTGAGGAAAGAAAGATGCAGTTGGGCAGAGGAGGAAGGGGAGAAAGCAGTGCACCACATCCAAAGGCATCCTCTGCACAAGCACATAAATCTAAATCTCCAGAAGACCCGTGCTCCTACAGCGACCACTGGAGCACCATGAGCATGGAGTCGTGAGTCCATTATTTGGTATGACTCTTGGTATTTCTCAGAGGGACCAGCACCAAAGGAATTGTCACGTGAACCTGGTAAGGCCAGGCTGGATGGGGCTTTGAGCAAGCTGGTCTAGTGGACGGTGACCCCCTCGTAGCAGGGGGGTGGATTTAGATGATCTTTAAAGTTCCTTCCAACCCAAACTATTCTATGGTTCTATGATTCTGTGATTCTATGATTCTGTAATTCTGCGATTGTATGAATGGAAAGATTCCCTGAAAAAAAATGAATGTCTCAGAGGACTTGCTCTTAGCTGCTTATTCTGCTCAGACAAAATCTTTCAAGAGGGGAGCATGGTCACCCTCAGTGACCTGCATATTCCTTGCTCCTTTCATTAGCTGCAACTTATTCTGAGGATAGATTTCTGAGATAAAAGTGAAATTCACCCGTTAGCTTTTCCTCATTAAACCAGAGCCAAGCCCCTGCTGCCTGGACCGTGCAAGGTCCTGGAGGTGCCACGAGGCCGGGGGCTGAGCACCGTCCTCAGGGAGGGCCTGGCCTGGCTGGGGATGGACACGGGCAGGGACGGTCACAGCCAGCACTGTCCCCCACTGGGGCCGGGCTGGCAGCTTCAGCGGGCTGCGGGGCCGCAGAGCTGAGCTGAAGCCCTCGCGGGGGCCATCGGAACCACCCTGGAGGTGCAGCCCCGCACGTGAACGGCTTTGCAGCGCCTTGTATCCTCTGGGACATGACTCCTGCTGCCCCTGCCGTGCGTGGCTTTGCCTCTGCCGGTGCCGGGAGGCAGGCCTGGCCGCTCTGTGCTCCCTGCTGCTGGGGCGCCCAGCCAGAGCCCCTGCGTGCTCACTGCGTGGCCGGCCCCACGAGCCCTGCAGACGGGCTTTGAAGGATGCTTACCTTATTAATGGGGGTATATTTATAACTGTTTATCTCTGTCCATTGGGTGGAAAATTGCCAGATGCGTTGCTTGCCTTCATTACACAGACATCTCTCTTGTTGTCTGGATCAGTGCTTTTGAGCAGTGTGTTACCACAGAAAAGCGCATTTCTTCTGTACGACGCTGATATTTGTAGGATCTGCCTTACAGCAGTATGGAAAGCAACACCCATGGAGACAAGTGCCCATAAAGTACAAATCTCTGTCCCCTGCTACTCTGGATATTAATCTTGTGGGAGGAAAAGTGAGTAGCAGAGCTGAGAGCTTCCTAATTGGGGGTGCAGCAGGGCTGTTGTCATGGTCTGTAGCCCTGCCAGCCTCGTGCAGGGCCCGAGGGGGCTGGAATCAAGGAGCCCCCCAGGACCCAGGATGCACTGACCTGAGGGAGCGTCTGCGGCTGCCTCAGCCCAGGGCCCAGGAGCACTCCATCACCGCCTTGGGGCCTCACACACAGCTTGTAACGCCTGTTGTGGCTTAGTGTTATAGGATGCATTATGCTCTGGGACAGCTGTAAATCTGAAATGGATGTAACTGCATATAGCAGCTATATGACAGCTCCTGTAATTGTTTCCTGGAAGCTAATACCATATGCCTGCTTTGGAAGTGTCTGGAAAACCCACTGTCAGGAAAACTGTCTGCGAGGAAAGCCCACTGTCAGGAAAACCCTCCATCAGAAAAACCCACCATCCTGGCAGAGCACGGCTCACTGGCTGACCTCAGGATCAGGTTGGGACCTCCAGGCTGACTGCAATGTCCTGGGAAGCACAGAAACCCCACATGCAGAAGAGGCTCGAGAGTCCTGCAGATGTCCCTTCTCATGTAGAACCAAGGAGAATAGCAAAGAATGGATTTAATAGGAAAAAAAACACGTCTCTAAGTAAAATGTTTTTCCTTGTTTCCCATGAAGCAGTGAAATTTCTTTATGGACAAATAGTCAGAGTGGAGTCCATTACACTCCATGCTTTTTGCCTTGAAACATAAATAGCTGCATATCATATAAGTGTTTGTTATGAGGAAATGTGTACTCTAGTATGCTAGAAAAAGTTGGACATTAAACCATTATCTCATGCAGAAAGCTATTGCTAAAGGGAGAGGATTACTTACTATATTAATTCTGTCCTTCACACTCCCATACATCTCTCTGCACATAATGACTTCAGTCACAAAGCGTTGTGTTGCAGGATCTGTGTTCTGTTAGCTCCTGGTCCTTGGGGGTGGTGCGTGGCACCCCCTCCAGCCCCGCTGCCGGGCCCAGCCCAGGGGCAGTGGCTGTCGGGGGGTTCTTTGTGCAAAGGCTGCCTGTTCCCTCAGAGGGCGTAACTGCATCCTTGCTTGCAACTGCTGCTCTTTGAATTCAGGTTACTTGGTGGCCAAACGTTCACACCAAAGGTTTGCTGGTGCCAGAAGCCCGTCTGCAAAGTCTTCGTCTCTGATGGAAACCTTGTCCCAGGGCGAGCCTGCAGTCACATTTGCATTTTGCTATAGCTGTGCTGTGCTACAATGGCCCAGTATCTTTCTCCTCCACCATCCTAGTGCATCACCAGGTTATAGCAGAAATTTCTGTTAATTTGTATGTAAACCTTTATATGGAAAAGCCTTCTGATCTGGCAGTCTCTATCTCTGTACAAGGTGTCTATGGGAAATGCTCGTATCTATTTGGCTAGTAGACCTTGTGTTGCAACTAAGACTACACAAATATTCCTGTTAGTGTTTTAAAGCAACAGTGAAGTGATCCTCAGGTTACCTGAAGTTGGAAGAGCTTCTTAAAAGGCAGCAAGAATTTTCTAATCAGATTATTATTATTTTTTTTTTTTTCAGTGAGTGTCTCATAGGGGGATAGTTTCTGAGGTCAGCAAAAAGGGGGAAAAAAAGCAAGCAGAAAGCACTGTGAAAGCTGTGGAAGTGAGAACATCAGTTTACTTCAACGTGTCTGCCTGGAAGAAGCAGGGAGTGAACCCAGTTGGCACAGGGTGCCGGGATGCCTTCATGCCAGACCTGCTGTGCTGCACAGGTGCGGAGGTTACAGGCACCTGGCAGCCATGCCAAGCAGGCAGCGGCACAGGGCAGGGGGCTGGAAAAAGCAGTTTATTCATGCCGGCAAAGTTATAACAGGTCATTTCTCGCTTGCAACCTGGCTATCAAAATAACCCTTGCATTGTTCTCTTCCCGGGCTCGGTTATTAGAGACAAGCTCTGTTCCAGTATGTGAAAGCTAAAGGGTGGAGTGTTTGCCTGATGCTCTGATTTTGTCTGGTTGCTGATGTAAGTGCAGAAACCTCAGTGCTACACACAGGATAGAGTAAAGCAGTAAGCAACAGGGTCTTATATCATCATCTTGTATGTTATCCTTATTCAAAGGGCTCTGTTTGAAACCTGGCACCGACATATACAGAACATGTTGCATCTTTGCTGGTACCTCTTCAATCTGGTTTGCAAGACATCCTGGAGGATGTGACCTTGGAAGGCAGGCAGAATATCGAACCTGCATAATAAGAGCATCTCTGCATCAGTGGCAGCCTGTTGGGTACAGGGCAGTTAATAAATAATGAGGATGTCAAAGATAACAGCAGGAAAGTGGGATCAGGTAGCAGCTTTGCAGCCAGCTTTCTGACAGCCTCCTGGCAACGTCCAATTAAGAGGCACGCCTGCACTCAGCCCAGTGCAGAGCCCGTCCGGTGCGGGCTTTGGGGCGCGGGGATGCCGGCACGCAGGGCACCCTGCAGCAGGCTGTTTTGCAGCACGTGCCCAAGGAAGGTGGCAGGGAGCATCCAAACACTTTGCAGAGCTATGTAGGTCTCCCACGAGCCTCTCCCTCGGGGAAGTGAAGGTCTGGGCTCACCTTCCCGGGGCTTGTGGAGAGGAGCAGCAGGTGGCTCCTGGGCTGGTGCCGAGGTGTGGAGCCGCCTGCTCGGGATTGCCGCCCGCAGGCAAGCAGGTGTTTGTTTCGAGGGGTGGGTTTTATGGACCCACAATTCAGATATTAGGAATCTGGCTACACTTCAGGTGTAATTGATCTACTGATGGCTTTTTAGACATCTGGTAAGATGGGACTGGCTTCCAAACATCAAAATCTGCACCAAAATGATCTTGATTTGAATAATAAGTATTCCATCGTTGTTTGGTAAATATACCCAGTGTTAATGGTGCTTAATGGTGCCTGTAATTGGTGTCTAAAGTTATTTAAAAGTAAATTTACTAGAAAATAATTAGCAATTTTATAGTTCACTACTTCCTAATTTTGTTGATAAAAGTTTTTCAGTGGTTTTATCAGATGACACAATAAGACCATGCTGTCAAATAGCTTTTTGCAAGCTAACAGGAAATTGTGCACACAAAATAAGATAAAAAAATTTTCCCCCTAATTTATTTGCCTGGCAGCCAGCCCTCTCTCTGCCTTTATTATAAACTGATTTATCCTTAAGCAGTGGCAAGCAGAACTTCACAGGTACTGCTGGGGCCTTGTGACCTTGGCAATGAACCCTGAGCTGCGAGGCCAGCGAGTAGGGCTGCTCTCCCCTTGCCCCTCCCGGGACACATCCTGCTGTCCCCAGCTGAGGCTGCGCACTTCGGGGCCATCTCCCCTCCCAGGTGTCTCCTGCGGCAGTGAGAGCAGTGGCTGGCACCGTGCCTGGCCTGACGCTAACGCCCCGTGGTGCCTCGCCCATGCCCTGTTTGGCATCGGGGATCCACATCCCCAGGGGTGGGGTCATGGCTGGCATCCCCCTGGGCTCTGCCACCCACGCTGGGCTTGTGCTGCTGTGGGGCCAAGGAGGGACGGAGCAGAGAAATGCAGCTGCTACAACGTTTTATTGTTTAGAGTTGTGGGTTCAAGTGTGCGGTTCAAGATGTTCATATTGTTCAGGTACAGAATGACACAGACAGACAGAGACGTATTTGGGACGAGGTGACAGCACAGCAGTGGGGTTTCAGAAAAGACTAACTCTCCATTTTCAGTCTCTGAACCATAAAGTACCAGCTTTTCCAGAACAATGAATCACCCAGTCTGTGTATAAAATTAAATATAATTTATGCTTTGCTAATTGAAATCAAATACAAAATTCAATTTCCTGTGTATTGTAATGCTGACATTTGAATAGTTGGAAAAAAAAAAAAAAAAAAAAAAAAGAAAGTATTATTAACCCGACTCTCTCTTTTGGCAGGCCACTCTCTGGCCAGATAGAAAATAATTCCTCTGTCAAAGTGCTGCATTAGCAATGCAGACACAGCCCCTCACATGGCAGACAAGGGCCACAGGTGGGGTTATGTCTCAGAAAACAGAACAAAACCCCACACCCCAGGGAGCCCTCCCTGTGCCACTTGTAATCCCAGCTGCTCACATGCAGGGAGTGGGGCTGCTCCTGGCTGTTTAGCATCTCTGCTCAAGCTTGAGATTGCAGCGATATAAAAAATAAACCTCTGCATATATGGCAAAAAGAATGAGGATCCAGAACAGGGGCAGGAACGTGCGGTGGGGCATGGTTCATTGCAGCGCCACCTGCTCCCTGCCCCACTCCCCTTGGTGAGCCCTCGCTGTGTCAGGGAAAGGGCACAGAGCTCAGCTGTGCCCTGTGCTGGGGCTTCTCGCAGCTCTGGAGAACTCACCAAGTGATGGGGGTGATTGTCCTTCATCCGAGTGCAAAATGGAAGCTCCTCGCAGGCCCAGCCACAAGCCAGATGAATTCCCTAACTGGGTGCTTCATTGGGTCATAATTCTCAGGCAAACACACATTTTCAGATCTCCTTTCCCTCCAGCAACAGGCATGATGAGAGGTGTGATGGCAGCTCGGTGGCAATCGGGCCAGAAGCCTGTTCCTGAAAGAAGCCAGTCTGAGCTGCCCCGGAGCCACGGCACAATGCCCAGAGCACAGCAAGGGCCGGGGTGTGCAGGAAACCTGGTGGGTTGGGGTCAGTGTTCCCAGGGGCTCGCACAAGCTCAAAAAGACCTCACTCAGAGACCTTGCTCCAGATGAAGCTGCAGATGGGGCTGAGAGAGTCCAAGCTTTGGCCTCGGGGCAGATGCGCGGTGCTGTGCCATCAGCCACCAGCAGCCACGGTTACGAACAGCCACCAACCCGTACAGCCGATGCAGTGAGCGGGACCACGGTGCGCAGCAGCCTCCAGCAGCAGTGAGGACTGACAGCCCAGCTGGGCGCTGGGCCACGAGAGCTGCTGAAAGACTCCACTCACGCCATCAGCCTGCACCCACCCTGGCTTCAAGGTTGCAGCGCAGCAGGAAGAGGGGAGATTTCTGGCTGCTGGGCCTCAAAATAAAGCCCTAGTCCTCCAGCTGAATTCACCGGTCAGCTTGCAGCAAATCGTGTTACAGCAGCTTTCACTTAGGAGATGACATGGCATCTTAATACATGTGAAATACCGTAAAGTTATTCCTATTATATACTTCCAATTTTCATGTAACAATCTGGGGATTTGAGGATCTGTAAAAAAAAAAAGTTATGTCAGGAACTGTTTTTAAATCTAATTGGGGTGATAGGAACTGATATCAATTTAGCAGGGAGTTTTGTGATGCCCCTCCAGAACAGGCCATGGTGCAAATTTTCAAAACGAATTCAACTCTTCCTTCACTCAGTCCAAGGCACCAGCACCACTTTATAGTGCAATGAACCACGTGACAGAGCGTGAAACCCAAAGCAGGTTCAGCTCATTACCTAATGTAACAATAATTTCATTTGGTTAATTGGATCAATAGGGTTTTCTCCTCACCTTTACCAAAATTGAGTCTTGGTCCTCCTAAAGCAACCTCATACTGCATCTCTGCTGCTTCCGAACAGCCAGGGACCTGGCATCTGTGAGGCAGTGGGAGATGCACAACAGCCACACTTGTCCTAAGACCACTTGTAAAAAGAGAGTAGCTAGCAATATTTGAGTGGCCTTAGTAATCACCCACACGAAGGGAACACTTCCACAATGGTAGCTCTGCAGTTTTTTTGTTCCCTCTCTGTTTTTTTTTCTCTCAATAATGGACACGTAAAACAGTGGCTGCTTCGAAGTGCTGTTGTCTTGCTCTCCACTGTTCCCAGCATGCAGCTTGCATCACATTGCTGGAGGATTCACTTGTGATATGGGTTTATTTTATAGTTGCTACCAGGACTTGCAAATTTGGTTGAGCATATGACTCGGTCATTTCCATTAGAAAACACACATATGTTGTGCAGAGCAGTGCTCACCCTGGGAATTAATTGCTTTTTTGTAACAGATTCTGAAGTAGAGATGAAGGCTGCTTCAGGATTATGCAAACCCCATTGTCAGCAGCAAGCAGCAGGGATCTGATGTGCAAGGTGCAAAAGTACCGCAGTCCCCGGGCCCCGATGGCCAGAGCTGTGCTGTGATGACAAAGCCGTCCCCAACACCTGTGCCCTGCAGTGACAGCCTGGGATCCCACCGGGAGCACCAAACCACTGGCCGGGACACCGCACGGCGCCCACAGCCCAGCCAGCAGGTGCTCTGTGAATGACCTCAGGATGTGGTTTGGCAGAGAAGAACAGGGGCAGGGAGAAGGCCCCGATTCTGATCTTACTGAGCATCCCCATAAATCAGAACAATTCTCTTCTGCCAGTGGAGTTACAGCCGTCAGTGAGAGGAGAATCGGGCCCAGGATTTTGTGGCACTTGGTAAATACTAGTTTTAGTGCAACAAGTAATTGGAACATCTGGTGCAAATGAAGTTTCTGTACATAGTTCCTTTGCAGCATAACTGGCTTTATTCCTTCCCCACACAAATACCAGCGTGCATGTGAATGCACATCCTGAATTTACCAGATCTCATGCTGCTGCTTGACCAAAACCTTAAGCCAGGGCAGGAGAAATTGAATCTATTGGTTTGTCTTGCTGCTGCTGGATTTTATATACCACCTTCATGCTCAGCAAGTGGCAGCGGGACGTGCTGGTCCCGCCTGCCTGGCCACAAGGAACACACCAGCAGCAGAACGTGGACATGAAGCATCCCATCATCTCAAGGAGCTTTGCTCTCTCCACCTTCTCCTCCTCCCACCCACTCCCTGATCCCTCAGGAGGGGAGAGCCCAGGCCTAAATGCAACCTGGAGGTGATGTGTCACTGACGTTTCAGACCTGGAAATGCTGTTCACCTCTGGCTGCAACCTTAACCACGCAAGACTCTTGCGCTTATGAGACTGAGCCTTTAGCCCTGGGTGAGTTTTGGGTCTCTAATGATGATTCACATCTCAAAACAGAAGAGCTTTTCTCCTGATTTCTTGGTTCTACTTATCACTTTCTTCTTGCTCCCACTTGAAATCTTGGCCTGTCATTTGGTAAAACATGACATTGAATGGTTTGTAAAACTTCCGCAGTCTGTGGATGACGTCAGGGTCTATTTTGGGGTGAGTTCGACCCTTGGACTTTCCCAAGCACCGGGGAGCACTACTGTCTTCTGGCTTCTTTAGACAGGGGAACCCCTTGGTTTTATTAAAATAAAAGTGTTTCTCTGTCACAATCCTCTTGAGGCCTAAAAAATCCTGGACCTTGGCCATCTCCCCAGCTGGGTCAGTGATGAGCCTCTCGCCACTGACAAAGAGGATCTGGGACAGAGGGAAATATTGGAGCCAGTTCTCCAGGTGCAGTGCGTAGATGCCAATGCGGATGGCACTCCAGGAGGCATCGATCAGCCCCAGGGTCCGGTTCTTGAAGGCCAGCACCTCAAAGGTGGGGATCTCTGGCTTCTTGGAGAGCGTCTGCGTGTAGTCCGAGATGGCGCGGGTGACCGGGTTCCTCACCACCACGATCAGCTTCGTGTCCTTGGCCATGGAGTGAATGCGCCGAGGGGCCTCGTTGGTCACGAAATAGCTGGGGGTCTTCTCCATGGTGATCTGCCCATCCAGGGTCTTGGGCATCACGTTCCTGCACAGAAGCACAGGGAGGAGCGGTTAAGCAGCGGCCAGGCATGGGCAGACACCTGGGGTCCCCTCCTGCCCTGTGCAGGTATGGGCAGGACATTCAGGAGGAGGGACACTGCGGGCCCCAGGGACCAAAGCACTTGTGGTTTTGTTTCTCCTCAGCCCCCAGACACGGTGGGCACCTGAAGTGTTAAATTAGCCTTGGTAACACATTATACAGTCAATTCGCCATAGGCAAATGTAGACAAAAGTTAATTGACAATAAACCTGTACAATACCTGTCTGTTCAGCAAGCCATCTGCTTCCATTTGCTCAATTAAGTCTATTCACTTCAGAGCCTTGTACCGGAGTGGTGCAGTTAGGATTACACAAGACCTTTTTGTTATGATGACATGCTTTTAAATGTCTCAGCTAATAAAACTTAATACAGAGTAAGATCCCCTGCTTCTAGTACAATAATTAAATTTATTTACTATCTTGTGTGTGAGAAAGAATGACTTTTCTTTTATCTCTAATTCACATGCTCTGTCAATAATTAATTGCTGCTGGGTTTTGAGCTTCCTGTGCAAGCACTTTTATTAGCCAAAAGGAATTTGCCTACTGGATAAATTAGCATGTAGCAAGACTTTCCTGGATAGCATATTACCATATTGTAAAATGAAAATCCAGCGAGATAGCATTTATATCTAAGAAAATGAAGAGGTAAATGCTTGTCCCAACTGCCCCCAGTTGAAGATTATCATAGCAAGCCGGAAGGTATTAAGAGATGTCCCCTGCAAGTGCACTATAGCCTCTTTTGAGCCTCACGAGCTGCCGGGTGCCAAGGTAGCTGGTGGCAGAGCGGCAGTGAGGGCGGCCCACGGGGTGTGCTGCAGCAGTGAGCAGCGGGGGCTCCCGGTGGCCGAGCCCCATCCCACAGGGCAGCCTGGCACAGCACCCTGCAGATCGTGGCACAGCACCCTCTGCACCAAGCACGTGGGGCTTGGGTACGGCACCAGGTGATGGGGCAGCAGCTGCAGCACCCGCACATACACCCGTGTCTGGGAGCGCTTGCTGTGCTGTGTGAGCATTTGATACCGCAGTGTGTGTGTTTAAAGGCTTTACAGGCACAGTACTGACTGGTTTCTAAGTGCGTTCTAACAATATTTTTATCTAAATCTTTTCAAATACTTGTGCATATGCACACCCACATGAAGTATAGTTTGTTTAACCTGTTGTTTGCTAATTTGCCCTGCGTGCCCACTGCCTTGTGGGGCTGCTGGGCCGGAGACGCAGCAGGATGGGGGGATTCAGCCTGCTCCTGCCCTGGGCTGCGCGACCCTGCAGCGCCTGCGGCATTCAGCAGGGTCTGCAGCAATGGAATGGAGGGAGGTGCTCCGGGCCTTGAAGGATTTTCCCTTCACATTCTCACTATTTTTAGTTCAAACATATGCTGAGGAAACAAAGTGAATGGCTGGAAATGGTTCTGTGAGAGCAACTTGGGCACCAGCGACCGCAGCAATGCTGACGTCAAACAGCAGAGCACTCGGAAGCAGTCATTTCATGGAATAACACAGCTGAAGCCTGCAAGCAGAAGTGTCTGTCAGACGAGACCCAGCTAGATTTGCCTGTCACTGTGCCTTGTATTTGTGACTGCTAAATGCTACTGGTCGCTTCACACCTCTCCATTATTTGTGTATTTACAGCTGGTGTAATCCATCCAACTGGGCTTGTTGTGCGAGGCGCTGCAGGAGGCAGTGGGAGTCTCCTGACAGGACAGGAGGAGGTTCCGGGGCTGCCAGCAGCTTGTCCCCTCTGCCGCGGTGCCCGGCACGGAGCTGCCTGTGTCTGCAGCCCAAACTGCTGCCAGCCTGCCCAGAGGGGTTCTGTGCTTCGCCCCTGCCTCGCCTGAGAAGCAGCGGTTTGCTAGGAGCAGGGATTAGTCAAGAACAATGCATCTTGAGGTATTTTTCCTTTAAGAAAAGCCTGAACAGATCGAGAGGGAAGCAAGTGGTAGGGGACTGTAGATGCTGCAGAATCACAGAGGGGCTTTCCTGTGGGGGATCCAGCACCCAGACTAAGCAGCCCTGTAGGAAGGGAGCGTCTTTTACAGCTGTGCACATCACACCAAGGCCCATGCCGTGGGCAGGGGCTGACTGCTGCACAAACAGGGGGCCCACCTGCAGAGCTGAAGCCACAGGCAGCACTGCTCTGTGTGGCCGCTCTCGCTGGGCCTGGCTGCAGAGGCAGCGATCCTCCTCCTGCGAGGATGAAGGCCGTGCTCATGGGGCACCCAAGCTCAGCAGTGGCACTGCGCACACCAGCAGAGCCTGAGCCCAAGCCTGAGCCAGCAGCTGACACGGCAAGCTGGGCCATCCTAAAATCTGCTCAGAGAACAGCACTGAAGAGCAGGCCAGCAAGCACCTATGAGCAATGGCTCCATTTCCCTATTGCCAGAGTCGCCCTGCAGGTCAGGACTTATCCCCAAAGGCATTCAGCTGCAGGGACCTTGTTGCTTTCCATCATTACCACCCTCTGCAGCACTGCTCCGCTGACAGCAAGTGATGCTGGTGAGGCACCAGCTGATGCAGCACGGCGAGCAGTGGTGGCCGCAGTGCTCCTGCCCATGTCTGACCCATCCCCGCTCTTACGGGGGTGGCCAAGGAGCTGCTCTGTGCTCTTTAATCCGAGGGTGCTGCTGGAGGCCCCATGGTGCCCAGGAATGCAGGCTGCTTCTGTCTAACGGGGGGAGTTGGGCGAGCAGTGCTGAGCTAACACAGAGCTGCTCGATGCCTGTTGTGCACAGATCCTGCAGCAAGGTTGTTCACCTTGATGTCTGAAGTGCCTGCACATTACTATGGCCTCATGTCAAGTTTTGCATCAGTCCTGATCCTCAGACAAGAACAAATGCTCACACAGGTGTGAAACTGTCAGTTGTACATATAATACCATAGGTATTTTATTTTTATCCTTCTGTGTAGTTTTCTTGGGTTGTAAGATAAGGCAAAGGTTTGCTTTGGCTACTTAAATATTTCTTATCTATTGCTGAAAATTGAAGCACTGGTAATTCAGTAATTGAACTGATGAAGGCAACAGGAAGTTCTGGACACCACCACAGTCAATAGGCTAGCCCAAATAAGAAAGATTTCCAAACACTCATCTTCACCCCTTGTTCCTGAAGCAGCAACCTGTGCCCGTCGCTCTGCACATTGCTGCTGCTGGACAGGGCCAAAGGCTGGGCACGTGCTGAGGTCTTGGGCACCGGCAGCACTGGTGTCAGGAGAATAGGTGAATGTGGTTGTTTTCTCCGGCACTGCACAGCACAGCTCCACGTCACCGCAGTGCTGCGGGCAGTCCCTGTTGGCCCTTGGGCAACTGAGGCAAATGGAGGAACCCCTTAGGCAGTTCTCTCGGGAACGCGGCGTGGGCTAACCGGCCTGCAAGGAGCCTGCAAGGAGCCTGCAAGGAGCCGAGGCAGCCAAACCATGCAGGACTGGGTGGCTGTGGCTGTGCCAGGAGCCGTGAGCAGCCTTGGCAAACAGGGCGGAGGAGTGAGAAACGAACCAGGGAATAAAGGCTCTTCCAACCCTGTGACTTTGCCCAGGGCGTTCCCAGAACAGATTTCTATTGAACCATTAATTACCAAAATCAATGTGTTACTCTTCTGTTCCTTGCTCTACAAAATAGTTATTTTATCATCATTTATAGCTAGCAATCTCTATACAATTCCTTTTTAACTGATACAATGACAGTTTAACTACAGCCCACTTCTCACCCTGCTGCTTGCTGGCCTGTGCTACACACAGAGCACCTCGGGTGATCGGGGGGCAGCTGAACTGTCAGCCCCCGGGGACAGTGGCACCGCAGCCTGGGTGATGGCTGGGAGCTTTCCTGCCAGGTCCCCCGGCTTTGACACCAGTCAGTAATCGGAGAAGTAGCCGTGTGCAAGTCTTCTTACCTTGCAAATGGTGATGGACTGCCAGGCAAGCAGCAAACACCATTACCCCGTGGTGTTCAATTACCTTGACACCCGCGCAGCAGCATGGCACACTTGTTTATGCTTTCTCGGACAGGATAAGCTGTTTTCCTATGCAATTGTCTGAGCATAAGGAGGGACCAGCCCAGGCAAAATTGGCTGGTGTATGCTCCTCTGAGTCAGACACCCTGGCAGCAAGCAGCAGGCTGTCAAATGTCAAAATGTGGCGATTATGAGATGCTAAAAGCTCTATTGGTCTACCAGCGATGGATGTGCAGACAATAGGGCTCCAGGGGACCCTTGCCATTGTCTGGTCTGACCCTCTGCACGGCACAGGCAGAGAGCTGCCCTGCACACCCCGGTGGGCACAGCACCAGCACATCTGCTCTGCAGCACAGAGTTTGTGGGGCTACACAGCCCCTGGGGGGGCTCCTGGGGCTGGTTCACGTCGCTCACAACTACTTGGCACCTCCACTGCAGCGTGAATCGGTCTGGTCACAGCCACTAGACTGTTGTTTTACAGTAATACATCTTTGTATCTCGTCTCCTATCTGACAAGACACTGTTCTGCAAATGCCTGTGGATGCTGAAACTAACAGCTCAGAGAAATGAGGGCTGCCTGGGCCCCTGCACCTTGTGTTGATGCTGTACCATCAGGCTGCAGGGGGCTGCTGACAGCAGCTGCACTGCATTTGCTCCAACACCACGAGCATTTGCAGCCCCTGGGACGTTTGGCCAGGCTATGGCGTAAGGCATTAGGGACTTAGTGCTTGCACAAGCTTTTGATTGCTTTGTATTATGGATTGTGACTGTGATTTGTGGGTTCTTAGATGACATTGCTTTAAAAGAGATGAAAATTAATCTGAATTCAGAGGAAGTACTGCTGCCGTCCTTCACCCACACTCACTCCTGTGCATCCCGACGGCTGACAAGGCTGGGAGTCAGCCAGGAGTGGAGTTTCCCTCTCCTTCCAGGCACTGAGGTGCAGTGGCAATAGCCCCTTCATAGGCAGTTCTGTAAACAAGGATTTTGCTCCCCTCTGTTCCGGG